GAATTTCGGAGCTAGAGAGAATTTGAGATTTGGAAGTCTCAAATTCGGAAGGAAGACCAGCCAGGAAGCTCATAACAGCCATTTGTTCTCTTTGAGTTTGCTGCATTTTGACATCAGTGCTAAAAGGCAATAGCATATTGAGTTCTTCATACGTCTTTTTGAAGTCCATGAAATAAGCTGTAAGAGACTTGGTTTCCTTTTCAGCACGATAAAAGGCCTTGCAAACTTCATAAATTCGTGACACATTTCCTTTGCCAGAATACAAAAACTCCAGATAATCCATTAGTTCTTTTACAAATTCACAGTGATTAATTAAACTAATTACCCCACCATCGACAGAATTTCTGATTTGTAAAAAGAGTCGTGCATCGTCTCTCAACCAGCCCTGTTTGGTATCATCTGTAGGTGGATCTTCAGTTAAGTGATCATCTTTGTCTATGCTCCGTAAATAGAGTCTAATTGTCTTACTCCATTCCAAATAATTCGTGCCATTCAATTTATTTTCAGTAATTTTGGACATTATTGGAATCATCTCACTCACAAATCCCTTGGACTCGGTCATTTTCCACGAAAAGCAATGGGTAGAGATAATCACACTTCTAAAAGAAAAGAAGAGGGGCCCAAACAAATTACCCAAGCCCAAATAAATAACAGCCCAAACAAATTATCCAAACCCAAATAAATAACAAACCAGCTTGGTAAATAACAGCCCAAACAAAATGATCCAGCCCAAATAAACAACAAACCAGCCAAGAAATGGTGGAGAAATACCTTAACACCCAACACTGATCAAACGTCGAGACCCGGTTCAAACCCACAGCAAAAACCCACACACTGCCTCAAACAGTTCGATCGCCGGTGAGCTGGAGGTGCAACATGCCGTCGATCAACAGCCACGCTGTTGACCGAGAAGCCGCACTTACAGAAGCGCCGGACACGCAGAAACGCGGCCACGGGATACGGCCGAAAATTAGCAGTAGATTTTGGCTAGATGGTCGGAGCCAACACCAGTCGGCGCTTAGAATCTGGCAACCAGACTTTGGGAACTGGCCGGTCGGGAACTTGCGCCTCTTTTGAGACAGAATGGTCACTACTTGACCCACGACCAAGACCCGGTTTCTGGGTGAAACCAGCGAAGATCAGAAAATTAAATCTGAGCTCATGGCTCTGATACCATGTAACTTAAGAGAGGAATTGAAGAGTAGTTTCTTATATGCTATTCGATGGAAAACGAAGATACATATACACATACAATCCGTCTAATTAAGGTATGTTAATCTGTCTAATTAAGGTATATCTAATCACGTTAATTAGCTACTGTAATTAGGCTAATTAGCTAGTAATCATCCCTTAATGTCATAACAAATGAAAAATATTCCATATTATATTCTATATTTAACACATAACAAAGAAACAGAATGCATTTTTGCATTTTCAAATATCCCCATTAAAAGAGAAATGTTGGGCAGCCTTTGAAGCTGTCCAACATTCATCTTGCAAAGACCATTACAAATAAAAGGTTTCCATTTGCCAAGAGATATGAAGTAGAGTGTACACTTTGAGCCCACAGAGGAGCACTGACCTCTTCACCTGATACATATATAACTCGAGCTGAATCCTCTGTATCATTTCCTTCCGATATTAATGCTGCAATCTTCAGTTCAGAAAGTAAACGGCAAATTCATATTATCTTATATGCGCTCAGAGCATAAATCACTAAAAAACAATTTTAATACCTGCAACAATAATGTGCTTTTGCCAACACCTGGATCACCACCAACCAATACTAGAGAACCTATATTGGAAAAATGCACCAAAGCATGGAAAACTGAGAGTTGAATAAATCCGAGGAAAGAAAGCAGAACAGATACGATAAACTATCTCATTGTAGCATGTGAGAGATCACTGTGAACGAGCATTGCCAATCCAAGTGCTATAGAATCAATATGCAAACTGCTGTACTAGCCATTAGAGTATTCCTGCCTACCTGTGTGGGAAGTTTTTCAGCAGTTTTTCCCAGTCTTGGCAAAGTTCTCGAATTAGTTTGTGTATATTCTTTCATATGTTAATGTGGACCACTATATCACTCAATTATGTGTGTAAATGAGGCAGCTTGATCTGAGTTTATAATACTCGAATTTGTACATATAGTAACAGTATATGAAAGCTTGGCTCCTTTATTGTCAAACGGAAATAAAATGAGCCACTAATGAGACAAGTCTAGGCTAAACTCTAGCACTTGGCTCAATTTGTACGGTATTCCTACTTGTTAGCATAATGAACTGATCTCAAAACATTTTAGATGCTTAAATTGCATATAAGCCTGATTATTTCTGCATCAAGCTGGTACTGATGTATTTTAAACATGATAAGTCGAAGACAATCATAAAGTTCCTCTATCCATTTAAAGTCATGCAGGAAATGCTGCCACAGAAAAAAATATGCTTGACTTATTAATATGTAATTCGGCAACAAGTTGATTCAATAAACTACACGCCTCAAAAAAGTCATACATCACATATAGAAAAGAAAAAGAAATACCTTGCACCAGACAGAATAGAAAAATAAATACCTGGCACAAGACCACCACCAAGAACCCTCTCTACTTCAGCTCCGAACTGTCCAGGCCTAAACATCAACGAAATAACAAAATATAAGCAAATTTCTCCAATGCAAGAAAATAATAAAGACAACTACTGCATAAACTTTGAACGAAATATTGTGAAAATTGCTCAGGATTAGAAAAAGGAAAGCATATAATTAGATGCACGCCACAAACACAAGAACAAGCAGATTCTTATTGCAAATGCAACTATACGACAACAGGACAGAGTAACATACACAAATTAACATGGTAGTACAAACTATCTGTATAATCAACACTCCGTGAGTATTAAGAATCAATATCCCGACTTACAAAGATATTCGCCAACTCAATTCATTTATCTGACTATTCACATCAGACAACTTGATAGGCGCAGAGGCAGAGACGTGCTGTGGCAGCCAAGACCTCAAAGCATTTTCCGATGCCTCAAAGCCGCTCACTTTCCTCTGTGCGCCCTCACTGAATCGCTTCATAGTGCCAACTTTCTCGCACTGCTTACACGTCCCCCACCACTGCCCATCAGAATATCCACAATCCTCACACACGTAGAAACTCCTACTCTTCCCTTTCTTCCTTATACTACGGCCAACACTACTAGAACCTATAATATCCCCATATATTCTGCTCCCCTGGTCTATACTCGAGGTATTTCCACTATTTTCGACTCCGGGGTCGGGTTCTTCCTTCTTATTGCTGGGTTCCCGTTTGGTAACAAGACGACCGCTGGTAGGGTCGTAAGTTGCTTGGACTGTTGAGGTATTAGGAGAAGTAGAGGTTGTCCAGCTGGTGGCGGCAGTTTCATCGGTGGTGGTGATGTTGAGAGTTGAACAGAATTTGCGGGGAAATGGAGGATAATTTGGGGATTTGCAGGTGATAACAGGATTAGGGTTTAGAGAGGAGAGGTTTTTCCAAACGTAAATTCCTCGAAATGCTCGCATATCTGGAGCTTGCAATTGCATGAGACAAAGTGAAAGTGAGAGTGAGTGAGAGTGAGGGTTAGTGAGGAGAATTTGGTGCTAAGGGTTTCAAGAGAGGATTTATGTCAGTGGAGAAATACCGGGAAATTCGAACACCCGATTTCTTTCAAGCCTTGGAGCGTTGATTGTCTAAAGAATTTTTAATCCAATAGTGTCATGAATAATGGAGGAAATAGGAGGAAATGACATTTTCATTATTTTGTAATTCCAAAATAATCTTTCACTGAGAAATAGAATTTTTAAAAAAAATGAAAATATAACTTTACTTGAAAAAAATCAAAAATACCCTAACTTTATCAAAAGGTAAGCTCTCACTCACGAATTTGGGCCGGCTGTCACTTGGATTAAATAATAGTTGGCCCAGATTCGGCTCCCAGATCCGGCTGTTGACAGTCGAATCTGGGCCGGCTGAGCACTAAATTTCTGTTGACAGTCGGATCTGGGGCCGGCTGAGCACTAAATTTCTGGGCCGGTTGTTATACATACATATATCTTCTATATATTAAAACTGACTATGTAACGGAATTTCTTGTTTTTAACGGAAAAACTAACGGAATTTGTTGTTTCAACGGACTATGTAACGGAATTAAAACTAACGGAATTTGTTGTTTCAACGGACTATGTAACGGAATTTTTTGTTTTAAACAGACAGCTGCACATTCTTTTAATGTTTTTATCATAATTTTATATTCCGATATCTGATTGAGGCGATTCAAAATGCGTTGGAAAGCTAACTCATCTGACTACAACTTTGATTTAGACATCATTATCCAATTCGATAACTTTCTATGTCAAAAATATGTCTCAATATAAAGGACTATGTAACAGAATTTCTTATTTTAAACAGGCAGCTGCACATTCTTTCAGTGTTTTTATCATAACTTTGTATTCCGATATCCGATAGAGGCAATTCAAAATGCGTTGGAAATCTAAGTCATTTGGTTATAACTTTGGTTCAGACATCATTCTCCAATTCGATCACTTTATATGCCAAAAATAAGTCTCAATATAACGGACTATGTAACGGAATTTCTTGTTTTAAACAGGCAGCTGCACCTTCCTTCAGTGTTTTTATCATAACTTTGTATTCTGATATCCTATTGAGGCGATGCAAAA